TAATAAAAATTATTAATTTTTTAATTATTTTATTATTAAAATTAAAATTTTTTATTATAATTAAATTATTTAAATTATTTAAATTACGTAAACGACTAGACGGCAAGCCCGCATCAGGAAACCGCGACCCCCGCATCGGGCAAGGCGCGCGCACGGGCCCGCCGCCGCTTTCGCGGGGTATAAAAATCTCGCGACTCCATCGCTCGCTCCTTTCCCTTTTTCCTTCCTTTTCAACAACCCAACAACCTCCGCCTCGCGACGCTCGGTGCTCCCTCTTCATGCGCATTCGGCCCTTTTGCCTAGAATCCTACCCTTTCCCGCTAGGACCCCCTGATGGCCATGCCGCAGCTGAGAAGAACGCGCCAGCGAGGTGCGGGGCAGCTTCAACCAGAATCCACGATCGCCCCCTCCAGCCTCGATGCTGCTAAGCAGCTGTGATGCGAATCCCCTCACATATCCGCCTCGCATTGGCCGAGTTACGAGCTCGACAGCGTCCAGACCCTCTCGCAATCTGCCTCGTCGTCGCACCATTACCCCCTCTTACTGCAGCGCGCTCCGGAGACAGAGACGCTGTGGACAAGGCCTCTCCTCGTTGCAGTATAATAGCTAGTCGCAGAAATGCCTCACGACGACGCGGTTTGGCTTCTGCCTAGCTATGCCCCAGGTGCTGCATATGAATGATGCGTTGGGAGCTTCCTGGTGAGTTTCCCCGTTGCCGCAGCACATATCGTATTCGTCTTGATTGCGTGGCCCTAGGCTGATTCGAAGCGGTAGGATCATCACAAGGGCTCTACCAGGAGCATTTCCTTAGAGGATCTGCTGAGGATCCGCCAATTGGACCGCGCTAGCTACAGGATTAGTAGCTGAGACGCCGGACGACAGGAAGGACCTGGAATGTGCCAGTCTACTAGTCTGCCTGAAGCCTTCGGACGGGCGGAGAGGGCAATATCCGAAGTCATGCACTCCTCCTCGTACGGCGGTCCTCGCTCCTTCCTGCTCAGCTTTTCACGGCCTCGCCGACGATCGAGAGATGATACTGAGATCGGCCGATCGTGGTGCACAGCGAAGTGGGGGTAACGGCTGCGGATGGGCATATTCCGGTATGAGAGCACGGGATCGACGGTAACAAGGCCTTGTAGCTGCGGCGGATCTCTCTGCGCGAGAGAGGCCGCATTGATGCCGAGGCATTTTCACGGAGAGGGCGTCAGCAGGTGGAAGAGAATAGCATGGCATGCCACGGCGGGCCATAAGGCGTATTCCGGTTCTACGAGGGCAGTGCGAGAAGCCTACATTAACCCATTGATTTCCCCGTCTCTGCCATCTCTTTTTGCAGTCCAGTTGTATAGCCAGAAGCTAGCGGAGAACTTCTCGAATACTCTCAGTGATTTCCACGCGCTAGAAATGGCTACTCTTGCCTTCAAACCTTATACTTATAAGCCAACTGCTCCGCGCTCCAAGAGCACAGCAACCTACCGCAGACCTGCTGCGGAACAGGTTAGCATCCTCAATAAGCTCTAGTACATTACGTCGAGTGGTGTATCACTCAGCACCCCGCGGCCAGTAGCTAATAACGGGGGCTATAGGCCCGGAATTCGAGGTATGTAATAGAGATGTATTGGCTTGTAGCAACAGTGACTGACTTGTGGGAATCTGACTAGGCACTAGCACTGTTTTCGGCGGTAGCGACAAAGCAAATAATAACGAAACCGACGACAACGACCGAGACCTCCCCACAATCGAAGAATTGCTGTTCACCAATCTACAAGCGCAGGGCTTTACAACCGGGGATCGAGGCCTAGATAAGACGAGCGGAGTTGAGGAGGTAGCTGCAGATGAGAGTAGTGGCTCTGTCGACTAGAGCAGGTTAGCGCAAAGCGATAACTCAGGCGGGAGTCCAGGTGAGCCGCGCCCACTACACCCTCTACTGTGGAAAGGGACGGCCAATTTTCTAACACAGTGTAGATGATCCAATTGTCCTCCTGGGCGACAGCAATTTGAGTGCCTCCGAAGCCGAAGCCAATGACGTTAGTCTTTGCGCCGAAAGTGCAATAGTACCAGGCGCTAGACTTTTCGATAGCCCAGAGACAGCCATCGACTCGACAACTCCGGCCCCTCCTCGCAGTTCCGATGGGTGGTACGATATTGATGACTTCCTCGAGCCGGCTCCGCGCTCACAGCTTGCGGAACAAGGAGCTTCGACGCCAGACTCTTTGCCTCCTCATACCCCTTCTTTGCGCCTCTCGAGCGAGCCATTATACGATAGTATTAGTCCAAAAGGATCGCGCCACACCAGATCCGAGGCCACGACCTCCTCTTCGAGCCCGCCTCCACACCATACTAGAGCATCGCCAGAGACCTAGCTTAATTAAGAGGATCGTCTTTATACCGGTCGAGGCGTGGCAGACGAACACGAGCTGGTTGACCATACCCTCAACACTCTCTTTATTGATGAAGGGGTGATAAAGCAGCAAGAGGTGGAGCAGGAGCAGAAGAAGGACGAAGGCAATACTAAGGATGAAGACGAGGGGCCGCAGCAAGAGATGAATGTTGTGGCACCAGTAGTAATGGCTGAAAGGGCTAGTAGAAGTCTAAGACTAGCCAACCGACGGCAATCGCTTCCTAACCTCAACTCATCTCCAGAGCCGAGTTATAACGAGGTAGGAAGCCGAAGCGGTGGTAATAGCGACGACGAGCTCAATAGCACCAACTCGGCCGAGGATAATGAGAAGAAATCACGTCCTGCTAAGCGGAAGCAGCTGTCCTCATCTCACGATGGCCCAATACGCAAGAAGCCCAGGCGCCCTCTTCAGGAAAGCTCTTCCTGCCAGCGTAGACCTCTCTCCAAGCCCCATCGCCAATACCTTAAGTCACACTCCCCTCTCGACCAGTGTTCAAGAGTCGCTACGAGCTCGAGTACCAAGGGCCAATTGCCTTCACCAGCGCCTTCTATACTACAAAGCATAGATACAAAGATGTCGCTTAGCAACTCTAACCTTAGCCCATCATCTAGAGCTACGCCACCGACGCTGACCGAGATCACATTCCGTCCGCACTCCGCATACTGCTACTCCTTCACGGCGACGATCCGGGACGGTTGTAACGGGCGAGGAGTCTCTCTCGCCCAGCTAGCTCGACTCATCGCGAGCACCGGTCACATAGGGAAGATTAACGACTTCACCATCAAGCCGATTGAGCAACATTCGTACCTCTTGAGTGGCTTCAGCCGGCATACATCGTCATCGATTACCGCAGAGGCAGGCCGTGACCACGTCGATGCGACGCGTACCCGACCCCAGGATAGCAAAGTCGTTGATGCTGGAGCCTTTATATCGCGGGGGAGTGAGCCCTCAAGTAGCGATGACGATGAGAGTGGATTGAGCGACAGCGATCCCGAACTCGGCAGCGACTGTGACAGTGACGGATGTTCGAGCGAGGACGAGCTGGGCCGTTCGGGCTCGAGGATGAATGTCCCATGGGATCCTATAGACGAGCAGCGCTTGCTGGCGTACAAGAAGGAGGGCAAGTCGTGGAAGTGGATCTTCCGCCAGTTCCCAGGCAGGACTCAGCCTGCAGTACGCACACGTTTGAACATCGTACAGGCCAGAGGCGAGTAGGCTTCCTCGCGCGGGTGGACAGGCGGCTCTTGGTGCGCACTTGTCCGTTGACATCTGTCAGGATGAACCGAGCGACATATCGTGCGTGGGCTCAAGAAGATCTTCTCACCTGTCGTCGTATATGCCGTGTCGGCTACGGAAGTTGAAGCCATTGCCTCTGAGCCGTTGTCTGCCAAGCGCCAGAGGGAATTGTTGGAGAATGGTATTAAGAAGTTGCAGGATGGGCACAAGATTTTCAGAGGTTGACAGCACTGGAGAGATGACAATGCTGGAGTTTCTCAAAGTTTTTATTTCTGTGCGAGTCCGCATTCTGTATTGTCGTGCTGCAGCCCCAGTGCTGAGAGTGATAGGGCTTTCTGCAGATTTTCAATGCTCGAGACAAAGAATCGAACGTCTGCCTCCAAGGACATTAACGTACTGTTGATAAAATCCCTAGTGAGTTCTAAATTTAGCAAGAGTAGGTCTTCCTCACCTCTTTCCGCATCCCCCTAATAGTGAACGTTTTCAACTAGTGATATGAGGGGAATTGGACAATTTCTGAAATGTTAGCTCCTTGAATATCTGTGCTTGCGGAGGGTTAGTGGGTGTAGAAGCTGCATCAGACGGGAGAACGGGGTGGATGAAGGGAAGGGGAGGTAGAGGTTCCTTATCTACTTGCTAAGCTCAACAATATCTTTAATCAAAATCAACTGCAGGGTTAACCATACAAATCAGTCAATTTGCTTCATTGTACTATATAGGTTTCCCCAAAATTCCACAGCAAACAAATGCTCCCAAGTCCTCACCTCACCTATGTATTTACCTCCTTTCCCAAATAGCTAATTACCTTGAAAGCGTTCCCATCTTCAACTAGCGTCTTGAGATTGGTGTAGTTTTACGGGTCGAGTTTTTTTCTTTGGCTTTTTAAATGCTTTCCCGTCGATCCTCTGAGACAGTGAAGTATCAAGGGTAACGTCTCGCGAACTAACACGGCTTGATTGACTGTTAGCTTCTTTTAGTAAAGATGTAGCATCATGACTTGATTGGTCGGAGAGATAGTGGCTTTCTAACCCTTGTGAGAGTCCGGATTCCCTTGGCTCGGATTGCTTCGAGACCTCAAAATCCGGATCGAGCGGCAAGTCATTAATAATTGAAAAGAGTTTTTCCAAGTGAGTCGACATCTATTTATTATAGACGTTCTTAGTGAACTTGTAGGCCGTCTATTTCTCTTTGCTATTTAACGCCGTAAAGCTGAATTCATGGATCGGGTGGCGGTAGAAGGTAGTCTTGTTCCCGTCGATTATAGGATAATGACTATAGATTTTCACTGTCTAGTGATTATGTGAGATTGAGAAGGCGAATATCTCCCGGTGAAGCTTTTTTTCGCGTTTTATAAGTTTGAAGAGTTCGATAACACTCTTCACGGCTATCGTTATGCTATGAGCATTTTGTCGGTCCGCAACATCAAGCGCCGTAGCGCTGCACTTGACTTCGTAAGTAAGAAACGGGAAGTATATATAGTATGTATTTATAAAGAGAGATATTTCTGAGAAGCTACTAATAAACGGCTGGATTTTTTTAAGCTGATTTTCGGTGAATATAGTTCGCTTGAATTTAATAGTATAGTTAGGTTGCGGACGAGGCTTGGTTAGAGCGATGGAATTATCTTAGTTTTCGTTAATACTTTCGATTAAAGTTTTTAGATGTTTGGCGCTACGTATAGCTAGAGATTAAGCGGAAGGAACGATTAATCGAGTAATATTTTGAATAATTTTGGCTTCGTTCTTGTTTTGTATTATTTTGCACGTTTCGTTAAAGAAATTATCTTGAAACAATGAATTTTCTGGAACTATTTGCTGAGTTTCAAAGAGGGTTCGGCAAACGGTCTTGCTTGTGTCCGCAATACTTAAATTCGATTTGCGCATAAAGCTACCCTTAGTCTCGAGCAAAATTCTATATTGCGGGCTTTAATACGGAGTATTTTTGGTTTTTTTTCGGTTTTTAATCGCTGGGTGTGGTAGAGCTGGGCGCGGCAGAGCCAGTTTCCAATTGTTTGCTGCGAAGAGATAAAGAAGATTTCTTTTTTGCAAGCAAATAGTTTATATTGTTCTCCAATTTAAAGTATTTTTTAAGCTAACAAAACTCTCTCCGCTAGTATTCAAGTGGGTTGATCTCCTTCTCGTTATCATCGACGGCTACGTTCTCGCCGATTGTGTTTTCGATAGTAGATTGTGGAGGGGACTTTCGCCGTCGCTTTTGAGAGGAAATGGCATTAAAAAGGAAAGTGAGTTCGTTTTCTTGTAATTATTTTCGTTTTCGATCTTTAATTTGTAGAAACTTGACTTGAGTTAGTTTTATAGCATAGTAGGAGGAGAATGGCATATTTTTTTGCTAAGAGTTTTATTAGTTAAAGAAGGAAACGAGTATTTTAGTTTGCTATCCTTGGATATAATGCGATTTTGGCGCTGTAGGCGTGGGCTTTTACGAGGCGAAAATTGTGGGCGTTTTTTTTTATGTTCGGTGAAAGAATTGATAAAAATATCCTGTTTGGAATGCATGGCTACAGCATTTAAATTGCAGGTCCTTTATTGCACAACTTGAAAAGAGGTATTTATTCCTAATCATCCAGTGACTCTTAGAGTGTATGCTTAGAAGCTAAATTGTTGGCATATTCACCTCTGACTGGCAACCGCCGCCATGATATCTCAAGGTGGAAAATCGCACACCCGTGCTACTAGCTCTGTTGTTCATGCGACTGGCCCCACCCTCAAAGTAAAATGACTTCAATTTGCAGACAAAAAGCAGACAATAAATAGCTAGCTACTGAAAACTGCTATTTTCAAAGAACGGCAACAAATCCTTGCATTGCCGCTATGCCCCACAAAGTTACAAGACACGCCACTTGACTTTATAAGTCTTGATATCAAACTTAGCATCCCCTATACGAACTGAGAATGTCCCAATTTTAATCAGATCCCCAGATGAAAGCTCTTTCAATAAAATCCCAAAAATCCATAAAGGACCCACGAGGACGCACACCGCGAAATTTCTTGTGGTGGGAAGAAATGTATCCACCCATTCATCTAAGGGCAAATGAGTGAAGCAAATATTCATTATGGTCTCCTTATAAATATTTAATCCATCGATAGAGCAGCCTTGATTTCGTGTCCCGGATCTTTCTTGCTGACCAGTATATGATAGGATAGCTGCCTCACGGATTTCGACGCTGTGGCCGGAAATGACCCAACCATCGACCGTGGAGTGGCCAAAGGTAAAGTATATCCCCAAATAACTGTCGTATCGACGTTGTGATGGATACCGTGTGAATGGAAACATGGAACCCAAGCCTTGGCTCGCGCTCAGGGTAGCAGAATCACCTTGGGAGAGCCACCAGAGTACTTCGTCATCGCATGGGGTAGAGGAATAAAAGATTGCCCCAATCTTTTCTGCAGCTTCTTTTACGAAGGCCTCCGGATAGTCACCCAATGAAGTTGTCTGAGTTGACAGGCCAGATTTTGAAAGCTGTGCGGACATTGTCAATGTCTCGGAATCGAACTGTTTATTATACCAGTCCGTAATGCCAACAGCAGACATAATAGCCTCCGCGCGGCGACTCCGGCATTGTCGACGATTTGCAAGAGCTAGAATGGTGGTCCGATCAGCAATTTGAAGTTGATCAAGTCCTGTATCTCTCACGAGCGTCCTCAGGCTTCGTAATGCCAAACCGAGATCTTCAGAAGAGGCTTCTAGCCATTCTTCTGCGGTAGACCCTGAAGGTGGTGGAGAAAAATGGTGTCCGAATGATGCTCCGATAACAATTAGAGAGTCAAGTTCGACTTTCATGTCCTGCGAAGGGGTAATTGTGAGGAGCCGCCAGCTTTTGTCACAAAGCCACATATGAGGACAAATACAAACTTCTTGAAGTGTCCATAAGGAAGAAAACCAGGAGTTCATTCTGCTCCAAGCTTTCTGCTCGTTTGGGAAAAGCTCTTGAGTTAATTCAGATGGCAATTCAAGACTCTCTTCGCTCATGTCTAATTCCGCATCAGATGCAACTCCTGGCTTGTTCTGAATTTTAGCCATCAACTCTTTCATTTGAAGACTAACAAGCTCTTCTAAGATTTCCTCGGAAGATTTTGCAACATCTTCCAATGTTGCGGCAAAAGGATTAATCTCCCATACAATAGTTTCATCCGGTAACTTTCTGGCGTTATATTTCGGATCCAAGATTTTCGAACTATAGAGCTCGAGCGGACGTTGGTGCTCATTTCGTAGTAATTCCACTACACCATCTGGGATCAGATGGCCAAGCCTCTTCATTTTATCCACCGAGAATTGAAGTATGGCTGCTTGTACCCCGTTCCAACCTTCTACATCGCTGAACCATGCAATGGTAGCTTTGGCACGAGTAAATATCATGCCCTGCCGGCCAATCTCTCTTTTAGCGAGTTCATCCAGTGCTGGTTCATCTTGTGGGATGCAAACGAGATCAAACCAAAGGTAATCGGTATCACAGGGGACCTGGGCCAGCATCTCAGGAAGGCTTTTGACGTCGAACCTTGTATTCTCGGGAATCTTCCAGCCTTCAACCCCAGTCACGCTGACTGCTGGCGTCGGTTTCCGCCAGCGCCCCCACGTGTGGCTAATAGCAGTGTACTGCACATCATCTGGAAGATTCTCCGCCTTTAGTGTGCGACGGCTTTTGCGATCCCAAAGGAAATAAGGCTTATCACCTCGGACTTCGGGGAATTTGGGATAGTCTTCCCATGGATAAGAATTGAGTATGGCACCTGAAGCATAGCCCAACTCGTGAGTGGTCATATCTGTAAGCCGTTGAACTTCCGCTGGAGTCATTTCCTCAGGCTTATAAAAAGATCCGGAACCGCCGTATGTTCGCGCCTCAGCCTTGAATTCCTCGACCTTGTCATCCGCTATCAAAGCGTTCCCATTATTTTCTGGTTGGCTGTCCATTTGCGTACCAAGCGGAATGTTATCCGGAGCGATATCCCTGAATTGAATATTTAAATCATCCAATGTGCCTTTATAAACGGCTCGAGAAAGTCTTTGAATTGCAGCAGACCTACTCGCTCGCCTCCGATATCTGTATCGGACTGTTCGGTCTAGAAGCTTGCTACTTGTAAACCAGAATTCGTACAGCCATAATCGCATCATATCATCCTGGTAGTCTCGAGGAGCCTCCAAACTAGGTAAGAAATTATTCTTGGGGGGCGATAATATTGTCGAGACATACCCTACTATCCGTCCATGGAATATGGCAATCTCAAGGTCCTTAAAAAATTGCATGGGAATCGAGACGTCATCAATTTTGCCACTCCACCATTCTGTTAGTATCTGAGCGATGTGGAGGTTGGCTGGGTGCATGATCAAGTGAACCCCACTACTCGCTGGGAAGCCATGAAGGATCCAGTGTAACACGATATTCCAGGCAAAGATTGGATTGTACGGGCCTGGATCGCTTGCGAGCTTGACATATTCATGTGCTCCAGTTCCAAGAGATAAGAAGTCTGTCAAGTTGTGAGGTACCTGCGATGATTCTCGATTGCTCAGTTTCGGAAGTTTTTCGAGGAAGTCCCAGGCAACTGTGTTGTCGTTATCGGATACCCCGGTGTGTGCACTTTCCAGAAGCACTGGATTGAGCTCGCTGTCTCGTGAAGGGCTTCTGCAAGAGAAATGTACCGCGAACCATATATCCGAATGGACTTGGATTTCCTTAAACCTGCCCCGATCGGGCTTGTGCAATGCTCTGTATAGTGCAGATACACCGCGGTAAAGAAGGCAGGATTGTAAATCGTTCCGAGTATCATTTTCAGTTTCCTTCATTTCACACATGAATTTCGTGTGCAGTACTGCATCAGATCTTATCTGAAATGTTATTATGCCAAGTACGAGCCTAGAAAAACAATCAGAGGCAGTCTGAAGCTGGGAATTTCTCGGCAAGGTGTTCTGCTCCTCTTCTCCCTCGACCGGGATTGGATTCGGGGGAAAAAGCTGCAGTTGCTTCATGAGCTCCAGGAATCCCGCCAAGAAGTTAGCTATGGATACTCTGCCATGCTCTGCGGCGCCCATGAAGTCTCGAATAGTGATCGCCGTCATGTCAATATGTCTTCGAGGACGCTTTTAGAGGATCCGCGAATGATCTGGAATGTGATCGAATGATACGTGAAGATAGAGAGGTTACAAACGCGCATCTGGAGCATCGGGGGCTCGTGCAATAGTGGGTACTTATACGAGACACTGATGAAAATGTCAGTCGAGCCACGTTCTAAACAAATGCGAGGGAATCGGAAGCCTGAAGCTTGAGTCTTGATGCTTGGTGCTTGATGCTTTACGTTTTCGCTTATCTTATAAATCAGACGCTTCTCCGAGACCTTACCGTAAGTACCAAATAAGCGAACGACTCTCATTGGCCTAGGAGTTTCCAGGAGTTTTATATAAGGCACGTGATTTTTGTCTTTACGAAGCGTCTGAGTTCATATAGTCGCGACTTTAGTATAAACCCGACTATTTTTGAGTATATTATTTTTTACGATTTATTATAATTTTTTTAATAATGCGTTTATTATTATTTTTATTAGAGAAGGAACAAGTCCGGAGGATGTCACGTGTTAATGCGGGAAGCGGAGCTTCCCTATATCGGGTCGGAGTAATATAGTTCCGTAGAAACTTATATCCTCGGAGTTACTCTCTCTTATAAAGAGTAACTCTACTCAATATAAACCCTGCACTTATATATATGCTCTCGCTGTGTTTAAAAGATTTCACTGTGATGAGTTGAACCTATTCTGTGGCTATGCCCCTAAATAGGCATAGCCGTCACGTGAGCAAACGCTCGGGCCTTAGCGCCCTCACAAAAAGATTTCTCCGAGGAGAATCTTTCTTTCCTTAATTGTTGGAAGCACAGTATTCAGCTGTAGATCACGTGATATTTGCATGTGCTGTGAGACGCGGCCACAACAAGCAGCAGGTGCTGTACTAATCGTGGTATTGCGTCTACCCTTTAACTCGTACTACGTCGTACGAGTTATATACTAGCTACTGCATAAATCTGCTTACACCACGTGCTTCTATACGAAACGGCTAGTCCCGCTAATCCTGTCTGATCTTCCGGCCCGGTCTCAGCCAATGGGGTGGCGCCTGGCCTATACTCCCGACAAGGAGAGATTTATATACATATATATATTAGAAGTAAAGGGATGTTAAGTGAGGAGCTAAGCCCTATTAGGCTTAAAGCTCGGGAACGCCACCATTCCCGGCCTGGCCTCTGTCACAGGCGATTAGGACAAGCGATTGGCTCAGGCGATGGGCTCAGGTGATCCGTAATGTGACAGCACGGTTGGACTCAAGTACGTAGACGAGGAATCGATTAGGCTATCTCTTAGAATCTAAAGGTAAAGAGGAAAGAAAGGAAGGAAGCGCCGGAAGGCAGGGCATATATACAGGCGAGCGGTCACGTGAGTATTTCGTAGCGGGCACGTGACTCCATAACCGTGACATTAATTAAAAATTTTAAAATTTTAAACTAAATTTATTTATTATTATAAATAAAAATTTTTTTTATAAATAAATTACGTCGTAATTTAAATAATCTTTTATTTAATTAAAGAAAAATATTAAATAAAAAATTAATAAAATTATAACGTTAAATTTTCGTTAAAAGTTTTTTAAATATAAAATTAAATAATTTAATATAAACGACGATTTAAATTAATATTTTATGTTTAATTTTAAATATTCTTTAATTAAACTAACAGCGTATTACTTCGATAATCCAGAGTAAAACAGTTTTCTTAAAACATTCCGTGCTTAGCAAAAAGCGTACGACGAAGAACGTGACAATTACAATAAATTAAATAATAAAAAAATAAATCAAACGACGAAAACGTCGTTTTTCGAAAAAAAAAAGTAATATTACAAATCACTTGGATCGCTAAATTAATCGCTTATTACCTAACCTAATCGCTTGCTTAATCGCCCGCGACGAAGGT